CGCCCAGACTGTGTGGAGATGGGTAAGGTTTCCAGGGCACCATGGTAGAGCCATTCCTCTACATTTAGTTTCTGCAGCCTTTTGTGTGATTGTGATTTTGTTAATCAAAAATAATGACTTTGGCCTGAATAAAATTTCTGAGGTAAAAAGATCAAGCAGAGTGATTATTCCAGTAAAAAGAAGTTACATTAATAGGCGAGTCTTCACTAAACCTGAAAGTCAGTGATTGGTTTAATTCTAAATTGTTATAAGAAATCAATCTCAGTCACTTTATGAGACCCAGTTATTTGCCTCTCCGTTTCCATTCTCTTGCCCAATCCCACCCCGCCCCCCACCCCAATCTTCTTTTCCACATGTTTGCCCTGCTTTGTGGAACAAACATTGATGAATGAGAGACAGAAGGCAGGAAGAATCCAATAGAAAAAATTGCTTGTTTTTCCTTCTTCTGAAGGACGGTTACAGTGCCTGGTGGTTTCATACAGTCTTCCTGAGATGCCCCTTGTGATCAAATAGTCAACTGTATACTGAGTTGATCCTTGAGCAACAAGGGTTTGAACTTCGCAGGTCCACTTATAAGCAGATTTTTTTCGAGAAATACAGTGCTGTAAATATATTTTCTCTTCCTTATTATTTTCTTAATAACATTTTCTTTTCTCTAGCTTACTTTATTATAAGAATACAGTATATAATACATATACAAAATTCGTGTTTATCTGCTGTTTATTGGTAAGGCTTTTGGTCAACAATAGGCTATTAGTAGTTAAGTTTTCAGAGTCAAAAGTTATACGTGGAGTTTTGACTGAGTGGGGGTTGGTGACTTCAACCCCCTAGTTGTCAGTAGTCAACTGTACTGTGAAGCTATAACCAGCTTGTAATATATCACCTAGGTTTTCCTTCTTCCTGTCCCTGCCTCACTCACCCTATCCCCTTACTCTTGCTTTTCTAGGACCAGCCCCTCCACACCCAATAAAATTTTAGTATGTACACTTTCTCTCAGGCACTGTTTTCTAGGAAATCTGGGCTAAGGCAGTCACATTTAGTTTTAAATTTGTATTATGAAACATTTGAAACATATATGAAAGCTGAGGAAAAGTCCAATGAACTCCTATATATTCATCACCAGGTTCAATAATTACCCAGTTTTGTCACATTTATGTCATCTAGCCCTTCTTCTTCCTTCTTTTCTTTCCTTCCTCCCTCCCTCCCTTCCTTTCTTCCTTCCTTCCTTTCTTTCCTTCTTTCTTTCTTTCTTCCTTTTTTCTTCTTCCTTTCTTTTCCTTCCTTCCTTCCTTCCTTTCTTTCTTTCTTTCTTTCTTTCTTTCTTTCTTTCTTTCTTTCTTTCTTTCTTTCTTTCTTTCTTTCTTTCTTTTTCTTTCTTTTCTTGTTAAAATATTTTAAAGCAAGTCCCAGAGAGTATGTCATTTCACTTCACCATACTTCAGAATGTCTCTGCAAAGATGATGGACATTTTCTTACATAAACACAATACCATTATCATACCTAATAAAATAACAGTATTTCTTTGACATTGTCTAACAACAGTCCATCGTCAAATGTCCATGATTGTCTTACAAGTCTTTTTACTGCAGTGATGTTTGAATCAGGACCCAGACAAGTTTCATACTGTACATTTGGTTGCTACCTATCTTTAATCTAGAGCTTCTCCTCATCCTTTCCCTCTCCTTTTTGTCCCCGTTATTAACTTGCTGTGAAGACAATGTCATTTATTTTACAGACTGTCTTACACTCTAGATTTATCTGTTACTTTCTTCGTGGTGTCATTTAACTTGTTCCTCTAACCCTCATGTTTCCTGTAAGACTGTGAGTAGGAAGTCAGTTTTAAGGCTTGCTTAGATTCCATTTTTTATTTCGTTTTGTTTTGTTTGCAAGAAAGGGGGTGCTGAGTGCTTCAGATGGCGTCAGATAAGAAGGCACACAGTGTCTGGAGTCTCATCAGTAGCACTACTTAGACTATTAGACGGAGGTAGTGAACACCCTGATTTCCACTGTAAAGTATATCATTGACCTTTTCATGTAATGGTTCCATCCACTGACGATTGTTGCCTGAATCATTTACTTCACAAAGGATTGCTAAATTGCAATTTTCCAATTCTCTTATTTCTTTCACATTTATTATAAGAAACACCTTCCCCTCAACAGCCATTTGATTTTCTGTAATACAGTTCAAACAGGAAAGGCAATATGCGTTCTCATTCTTTTCCTTTGTTTTCATTTCTATAGAATATGGAGTTAGCGCCCTAGTTGCTTGCAAAAGTGTCCAATTGTTTTTGTTTGTTTGTTTGTTTTGGTTTTGGTTTCTCACGTTTGGAGTATCATTAAGGGCTCTTGGATTTTTATATATTCAATATGTTTCAAATGATTGCATTCATTATTTTTGTTGGTGTTCAAATTGTCCCATCTTTGGCCAAAGGGATTCTGTAGTTTTGGTGTTTGTGACCTTTTGACACTCTTATTTGTTATAAATGAATTTCTTCTTTGTGGCACAGGACATCTCATACTTATCATCTATATATCCTGCCCCAGACCTGGGCAGGTGGTTTCTTTTTCTCCAGTTTCTTTTAGTTGGAAATTATATTTAAAAACCCAGAATGAGTTGCTTACATTATTTATTTGTAGTAAAAATGAAAGCTTATATATCTAAAATTTTACTTCAAGGAGGTAACTTTAGAACCTAGTATTTGTTTAGGTAATAAATAAAACTATAATTACTTGTTTTATATATATTTTTAGCTCACTTTCAAATTATTTATATAAAAGGAAATGCACACATTTCATTATAAGTATATGTAAAATTGGAATAATAACTGTATAGCAATGTTTCATTTTTCCAGGTGGCACAATTTATATTGAAAATTTCCCAGAAAGTTTGAAATGAAGGATATAAATGAAATCTCAAATGTTTTCATATGTATTCAAGTAAGAATATCAATTTCATCAGAGTTGCTATAGTAAAAGCTTTGAAAAAACTTTCAGAAAGGTGATGGTTTGATAAGAGCTGTCAAATTTGAGTTTTAGCCTGGAAAAAGTAAAGGGCTATAATTTCAAGTGTTAGCGGACTCTGGTGTGGGAATGCATAATATTGAATTAAATGAATCCAAAATGCTATTTGGCAGCAATTCTCAAAGTAAGGTTGGAGGACCCTAGGGTTACTGAGACTCTTTTTAGGGGGTTTGCAAGGTCTTCCCTTCTTCAACTACAAATTTGACTAAGGGCTGCTTTTCTTCATAATATCCTAGCTGTAACAACATATCGCAACAGATTGAATGCAGAAGCAGAATATGGGAATTCACCTGTTTCTCTTAAACCTGATAGTAAAGAGATTTGCAAAAAATGTAGAAAAGTCTATTTTTTTTCTGAGTTTTTAAAAAATATAGTCATTATTCAAAAAATGTTCATTATAGTAACATGTAATGGGTCTATTATTCTGAAAATGAATTAAACACATATCTAAAATTTTTCTATCTTAATTTTTAATACAGTAAATATAGACATATTTAACCCATATAAATAAAAGCTCTTTAAAGTTCTCATTTTTAAAAATGTAAGGAGATCTTGAGACGAAAAAGTTTAAAAACCTCAATGATACCTTGGACTATTTGCTTACTAATTTAAGTATGTATGAATAGAAATGGATTTGAAATACAAATATATTCATAGAATTTGTAAATTTAATTATTTCAGGTTAGCCTTGCTTAGATATCTCCTTGAATATTAGACATGTCTAGCCATACTTTAATTTTGTTCCTTAGTGAGGAATACATATATGATTCATTTTCTCTCTGGTGACATTAATGCCACATGGAGGGATTTTCGAATATAAGAAGACAAATCATTATATCTCAACTCCACAGATAAAGCCAAATATTCAGGTTAGAATTTAATTGATGGATTTGAAGAAAATGGGATGTTCTGAGGATTTACCCCCGCTTCATTTTTTAATAGATTATGTTTTAGAGCAGTTTTACAGAAAAATTGAGCAGAGAATATAGAGTTCCAATATATTCCCTGACCCCACATTTGCACAGTTTCCTCAACTATCAATATCCCAGCACCAAAGTGGTATATTTGTTACAATCGATGAACCTACATTGACACATCATTGTTACCCAGAGTCTATAGTGTATGGTTACTGTTCACTCTTGGTATTGTACATTCTACGGGGTCTGACAAATGTATAATGCTATGTATCACCCCGATAGTATCATAGAGAATATTTTCACTGCCGTAAAAATCTGTGCTCCACCTATTTTTCCCTCCCCTCAGCCCCTCAACCATTGGCAACCCCGGATCTTTTTACTGTCTCCACAGTTTTACCTTTCCCAGAATGGCACATAGTTGGCATCAGACACTATACTATAGCCTTTCCAGGTGACTTCAGCTTCTTATGCACATTGGATGAATCTTAGTGACTAAATTCAGTCAGATTTAGCAACACTTTTTGTGTGTTAATTAACTTTTAGGGAGCTTGTACCATTTGAAGACAAAAGCTTAGGTATGAAATCCCAGCTTTTCCAAAGTAAACTCCGTGTTCTGGATTATTCTTTTTGGCTTGCCTAGAGAAAGCAAAATTGAAATCGTTTTCCTGTGTACACTTTAGTAGAAAAAACGCAATAACGGAGTCCAGACCGGGGAGCACTGGAAAGGCTCTTTGCCACTATAATTGTGCACTCCAAGCAACTGCTGGGGTCTCCGTTTCCTGACCTCTATAGCAAGGGGAGGAGCTGAAGACACAGTTTCACAGAGTTTCAGCTCTCTCTTGTCCTCTCAGTCATTAGTACGGTGCAGCCTTAGAGTAAGGGCTCAGTTATTGCTTGCTGAGTGAGTGTTACTTTTGATCCGTTGCAAATCCACGACGGGTTTTAGGGCTAACCCAGGCGGGCGCCGGGGGGAAGGAGGGGGCGGTGCCGGCTTTCCGCCGTGGGCGGAGCTTCGCGCGGCTCCCGCGCGCCCGGGAGTGGAGGCGGAGCTTTCCACTGGCGGAGGGCGGGGCTAGCGTGGGGACTTCCCCTGGGCTGAGCTGCGCAGCGGGTGCGGAGGGCGGGAGCCCGGCGGCGGTTCGGGGGGCACTGAGAGGCTGCAGGGGGTGGGTGGGTCCGCAGCCGCCGACACCTGGCGGTCCTCTGGGCTTGGGACCCTTCGGGTGGAGTCGGCTCCCGGCGGGGCGGGAATTGCTGGGAGGCTGAGGGCTGCTCGGCCGCGAGTGCTGCGCTGTCGCGGGCATGTGTGCGTGCGCGTGTTTATCTGAGGGCCCGCGCGGCGGCCGGCGCTGCCGCCGCCTCCTCCGGCTAACTGTGGTTGCAAACCGGCGCCTAACCGCGGCGACACCTGGTCGGGAGGCGGCTCGCTCTTCCCCGCCAAGTGGGCACCCCAGGATCTCGCCCTGTCCTCGTCCCCCTCTTAGGGGACAACTCCGGCTCCAAGCCCTGGCCGTGAGGGAGCGCTGTGGGGACGCGCTGTCCTCTGCTTTGACCTGTTGGGCATGTGGTGGGAGTTCCTGAGGCTTGAACATCAGGATTTTAAAGCACCTGTCTCTGTCATTTTTACTTTTAGGGTTTTGGCCAAATTGGGCGAGGGCACAAAATAACCACTTACCCCTTCTCACCGAGGAAGAACGGGAGAAAGGGTAAGTAAGGAATGATCAGGGGTGGAAGGAGCTAGGGCTATAGTAAGAAAGAGCAAGGGAGAGAAAAATCTAGATCCAGAACTGCTCCTGGGGGATTGAGGGGCCAGATTCTTCCATTTCATCAGGAACCTGAGGCCCACCTTCAAGGGTCACAGGCTCCAAACCCAAGAGTTTTTTTCAGGCCTAGAGTCTGTAGAGCTGGCTGGGAGTTTGGCAGCTTGGCAAAGATCCCTTATAGCCACTTGACAGAAAACTGCCATTACCCTTCCCGTCTTTGGAACGTGGGTCTTGCAGTTGTCTGCCTCCAGTCTGTGTCTTCCTCTAAGCTGTGATTAATCCCGGAGACTGTATTGAAGAATCATGGTGCTGCTTGATTATTGACAGAAACCCCACCCACAGATCTTTACCTTTTAAAAAGAGACTCCTGTAAAAATTCTTTAGGACGCCAAAGGGTAAAGTTAATTAGCAATATGGTAACTGTTGAAATTCTTTTGGGATCTTCTCACAAGCTCATGGAGGAAGTTTTTTTTTGTTGTTTTTTTGTGTTTGTCTTTGTTTTTTTTGGTGTGGGGGGTGATATTACCAGGCTGGGTCTTTTACTCTTGACTTTCGCTTTGATACCCCCTCACAAATATTCTATTCACTTCTGAAAAGTAGCCAAACAGCGCACAGAAACCCTTGGGGTTTGCTGTGATTTTTCGGCATGATCTCTTTCAGTGGTTCTTTAGTGCAAATTTTCCATTACTTCTCCAATATACCACTCTTACCTTCTTACTGGTGAAGTGAAACATAGCCCCTCTCAGAAAGTTGGGAATACCTTATGCATCCTATGTGTCCCATATAAAACATTTTAAGTTAGCTAAAATTCAGGTTAGCCACAAGCAAGAATGTAGCAAACCATTCTTGGATACTTATGAAGGAGAGCTAGAATTGCACTCTGTGGCAACTTGACAGTGGCTGCCTGTGCCCTGAACCAGTCTTATTTGGACTCAAGTGAGAGATAACCATATAATTTATGAAAAACCAGAAAATAGTTGTTTATTGATGATGGGTTCATTCATTGATTCAGTAGGTATTTATTTTTTCCCACCAAAGTGTGGAACACTGATACATAAGTAGGACGGTAAAAATCATGAGACTGGGTTTGGAGATGGCCATTTGGAGCAGGCCTTTCACCAGAGTTCTGTAGATTTTCGGAATACTTAAGTGTTACTGTACGAGACCTTCCCTATACTATTGATCTTAGTCATGTGCAGGTCTATACAGTGTTGTGGGAGGACAGTGCTATTTTTCTGCCTTCTAGTACTTTCAGTGATAAACTTTAAAGGATTACTGACCATGGTGATTTGTGTCCTGTTTTAGAATAGTATTGTTACTGGACAGAGAATCAGTTCTGAACTCATGTTTGGCTGCTGGCAGCTTGAAAATCAATACTTGAGAGACAAGCGGGAAAGGAAAGATTGTTTTATTCAGGAAGTCAGCAACCTGGGGAGGATGGTGGGCTAATGTCCCAAAGACCATCTTCCCAGGCCAGGTGAAGCTGGAGAGTTTTAAAGGAGAAGGCGTGAAAAATGGGGCAGGGGGCGCTCCATGCAGGAGAACCTGGGGCCCAGGTGGTTATTGGTATGTCGACATGATCCTGAATAGACTTGCTGGCATCAGCAGCAGCTGTTTTCAAATGTGATTAGGCGTTATCTTCTGGGCAAGTTTGGTCCTTCACTCCTCAAAAGGCCACTTGTTTGCAAATCTCAAGGAAAGTAGGTTAGTTTGGCTACAGACCAAGGGACTTAGGTCAGCAAGCAAGGAGTGCATAAGCTTGAGGCAAGTTAACCCTTAGGACCAGTTGGAGCGCTATTATAGTGCTATAGTCATTTTGCAGTGTATTGAAATGTATCAGTATAAAAAATTAGATGAGGATAGTATTTTGAATTATTCCATAAAGATCACATAAGATGAGAAAACATGGAGTGTTAAGGATAATGCACTTAAGAAAATAAATACTAGATTGTTCGCTTGTATGAGTTTCTGTACATTTAACCTCATTTTTTATTTAAGATGACTTTCTTGTTACAAAGGATATATAGGATTAAAAAAAGTTATTTAAAAATGAGTCTTGCAGGGATATAAAAGGTAGTAAGTCTCTTATGAACTGACTCTCAGAGGAACCCTCTCAACTATTTGTGTTTCTTCAACTTTTTGTTTCATGATTATGTGTTACTATTTGGCAAAATTGTAAATTTCTGTCTTTTACCTCCATATTCTTGGCTATGTAACACCACTCCTTGTTCCACGCCCAGTCCTCATGTAGAAGTGGCACGTCTTTTAGAGTCTTTTCGACATGGGCTCGAGTCCTGGCTCTTACCTCATTAACTGCCACTTTGTGCCACTTAAAATTTTGCTCCCTAATTTCTCACCTGTCAAAACAGAACAATGAGTATATTAAAAAGTATGCAAAAAACAGCATGTGGCATATAGATACTAACTGTTAATTTCCCTCCCTTTTTATCTGGTCACCTATCACATTCTTAATGATCTTCTTTGCAACTGAAGCAAGGTATCTCATACTTAGTTGCTGAGGTGGGCGTTTGCATTTTCACAGCGATCACCTGTTAAATCTGATCCTAGAATTTCTGGGACAAAGACTGACACCTGATGTGGTTTGAATCCCCTCCCCCCATCATGAAATCATTCCACGACCATGTCTAAAAAGTGTCAGCTTGAAAAATGAAGGGAAAGAGTTCCTATAAACGTGTTTAAAAAGCTCTGACACTGTTCTTAACGTGGGAAAGACATAGTACCGCATTTAGCTGAGTGCTTAAATTTAGGATTTCTATTTCAGAAATGTCTTTGGTTTATAGGAATTACAATAAAAATGCTGATGCTTCATGTCCAGACTGTCATGATTTTACCAAGTTGTGGGTTTAATATACAGCTAAGCTGTGTATTTAGTGTATCTAATACAGCTCTGGAAGCCAAGAAAGACAAGTCCATAGACATCAGATTTTTACCCGAGACATCTGGTTTCACTTTGCTAAGGAGTACATTTTGTCAGTAGATTATAGGCATATCAGCTGTACTGCTGTAGTTTGTGGCATTCTGTCATAAGCTCTGGTCTGTAGGGTTTAGTGTAATGTTTTATTCAAATGACAGCACACTATAAACGAGCACCTGGTCAGATAAGCACGCTTCTCACAGGTGTCTTCTAGTGTCATTGTTCTTACAAGTTAACAAGGTAAAGTAGTTTCTATCCTTGGTGACTTTTTGTGGAAGAAAAATATTCTTAAAGAAAAGCCTTGCTAAAGAGCCCATGGTATTCCAGAAATTCATTTTCAAGTCCATTTTTGTAATGTTGAACAGTGTACTTATAGGAATAAAATAACAAATAGCATTTAGATTTCCAGATCAGGGCCCAAAGCTATTTTCTTTTCTTTTCTTTACTTATTATTATTTGTTTTTTTTCAAAAAACTACCCTGAGATCAGGACCTGAGCTGAGATCGAGAGTCAGATGCTTGACTGACTGAGCCACCCAGGTGCCCCACCAAAGTTATTTTAACTCACTGTATGCCCATTATGTATTAGTGGTACACTATAGACTTTAGCCAACATTTATAATAGTGTTTTGGAGAGTGATATATTCTGAGGTTGGCCTAGAATAGCTAGACCACATCTCTCTTCATTTTGAGGTAGTCAGGAGTATGGAAATACTCTAGAGGCTGTTATCTCTGGGTTTTCAGGTAGGCTCTAATTACTTAGCTGTGATCTTGGATACAGATTCTTCATCTGTAAAATGGGATAATTACTCGTGATTACTCTGAGATTTAGTGAGTGTTTGTAAAGTAGCACAATATCTAGTATAAAACTGGCTCTCAGTAAATAGTAGTTTCATTTCTTTCCTCTAGGTCCTGGCCACAAGAATAAAGATTGCCAATCCCCTAGCCCCTGCCTTTTATCTCAGACTAATCCACTGGTAGGACCTGTGGCTCCAGCAGAGGGAAATTACCCCTGGAATCTGGGATTTAGTAGTGGGGGCTGGGAAGAGGCTATGGAGAATAATGACAAAGGGGAGGAGTGGTGAACTGACAGAGGAAGTTGCCAGTCTTTTGTTCAGTCCATGGACTTAGGCCTATGAATTAATAACTTGACTGGTAGAAAGAACCATCTTTATCGCTGACCTTTCAGTTGATCTTTTGTTAGCTGCTCTATTGGAGATTCTTACCTCCTTATTGCCTGATTAGTCTATTGATAAGTTCTTTTTTTTTTTAACCTTGATAATACCTGAATAATCATTTATTTCTATATTTTTAATAGGTGGGACTTAATAATAGATGTCCGTACTTCCTTAAGATCTGGACTTCTTCTATACTTGAAGTCCAGTTGATCTTTTTATCCTTTCATTGGCCTACAGTTCATTAATTCCTTTTTTCTTTTGAACTATATGCTATATGCATTGAACTTGTGCTGAGGATATAAAGATGAAGTCACTGTCCTTGATCAAGGATCTTATAGTCTAGTAGGACAACAGACATCTTGACCAACAGTTCAAATATTGTGTGCTATTTGCCCTAACGAAGATATAAGTGCAAAGGAAGGCTAGCAGGAGCTCTTGTTCCCTGATGGAAATGCCAGGGGAGGATTTTAGGTTATGTTTGAGCTGAATCTTGAAAACTGAGTAGAAGTGGGCAGGTTGACAAGCAGCAAAGAGCATTTCCACACAGGGGTAATAGCATGAATAGTTGTATGGCATTATGAGGGCCTGGTGTGTTCAGGGAGCTAGATGTAGGTCAGTCATATTAGAGTGTGAAGGGCAAAGTCAAGAGTGAAAGGAGATGAAACCGGATAGCTGAGTCAGGGCACACCTCTGCCATGTGCAGCATTGTGAGCGACATGAAAGGTCACCGTGAAAGCAGTGTGTTGGGTAGATTGGGGGTGGAGCAAGGTGCCGGGTGGGGAGGCAAGACTGGAGGCCCAAGCAGACAGTGCATTAGTATGGATAATGGGA